TGACTCTTTTAGTTTTAGGACTTACAAACAACCGTTATGTGAACAAAACTATAATACTCTCTTTAGCAACTTTGTTGCGAGAGTATAAAAAAGTATGCAAATCGGCTGAGTAGTTCGACCAGAATCATGTCCGCCAGCTTAGAAAGGTGTGTGTTTGAGAAAAACGCGTTTAAAGTTTGAGATGTGCACTCCGAGCGCTCCGAACGCCGAGCGGTATTATTAATTTTGGGGCTTTTTCGAAACCTTCCGGTGGTAAAGTAGGTTTCTACATTCATTTTAAGGGTATAAGGGAACAGAAAATGCAAACAAATCAAAACATTTTGAAAAAAGATTACACTACTGACCACTTAAATATTTTTTATTTAATGTGAAATACAATTGATGCAATTTAGTTCCGAATACATTTAAAATTACTACAATGTCTTCTCCGTTTTCTTTTACAGGAACGAATTCGAAGAACCTAATTTTCTAGTACTTTTCCACAAAATCAACTCGTTTTTCATGAATAGCAGGTTCAATATTGACTCTAAGCGTGAAGAGCGTCTGGTTTATTGCTACAGACCAATGATTTCAAATAACCCCAGAAGTAATCTAACGGTGTTAAATCACAATTCGGCTGTTGCACGTGCTGTGTGGCACGTAGTCCCATCTCGCTGGAACAAGAGGTTGTCAAGATCGACTTCTTCCAATTGCGGTCATAAAAAGTTGGCTATCATCGATATTATACAGCTCTCCATTGACAGTAATGGTGTCACCAGCTTCCTTTCGAAACGTACGGAACGAAGACTCCACCAAACCAAAAAATCACACCAAAGTGTCAATTAAGTTGAATGTAATGGTTGTTCATGAATAATTTGTGGATTTTCTGCGCACCAGAGTCAACAGTTTTCTATATTCATCGCGCAACTCAGATCAAAGTGAGGCTCATCGGAGAAGTTCGTTTTTTTTTTTTGTAAATCGTTATAATTTTCAAGTTATATCACGACAAAATCAGCAAATTCGCGACGTTGAAGATGGTCAATGGCTTCAGTTCCTGTCTCTTATACACATCTAGATGTGTATAAGAGACAGGGAAATCTGTACCAGTAGTCTTCTTTGAAAAAGATTTAAGGCCAATACAAAACGTTTTCGAGAAAAGCAATGCATCTCGTAAAATGTTCAAAATTTTCCTCCAGCCTTCCTTTGAATTATACTAAATATTTTGCAATTTTATTTTTACTTTGCGTTATCATTTCGGCTACTTTATTTTTACAGCCTTAAAGATGTGTATAAGAGACAGATGCTAAACTGATTGCGCTGCAGACAGATGGCCGAGTGCTGCAAGGTCTTGGCTAGTGCAGCAATCAAGCGATACAAAGAAACAATCAAATAAACGTGCAGTGTGAGCTGAATACGATTGCTGCTGCAACTTTGTACCGTTTTTGGTAGGATATGTATGGAATTTTTAGTATATTTGTAGCTTAAATGTGCAGCNCACCAAACCAAAAAATCACACCAAAGTGTCAATTAAGTTGAATGTAATGGTTGTTCATGAATAATTTGTGGATTTTCTGCGCACCAGAGTCAACAGTTTTCTATATTCATCGCGCAACTCAGATGAAAGTGAGGCTCATCGGAGAAGTTCGTTTTTTTTTTTTTTGTAAATCGTTATAATTTTCAAGTTATATCACGACAAAATCAGCAAATTCGCGACGTTGAAGATGGTCAATGGCTTCAGTTCTTGAGTGAGAACAATTTTTTATGAATGCAAGCTTAAATGTTTTCTCAAAGACCGCCAACTTGTGGTTTGAGACAGTCCCGATTTTTGAGACACTTACAATACCATATTCATATCATTATCATATCATTCCTTTTAGAAAACTCTAACAAAGTAATACCCTTACATATTCAATTACTGTTAATTCAAATAAAAACTGTGATTTMTCCAARTATCYTCTATWATTTCWARAAAARTATKTTATCAGCTGATGAATTTAAATCTCCTTTAAACAATTCGCGTAAAATTCCACACAAAAAATATGGTTATTGAAAAAATATGAAAAGATGTGYAAAATGCTGCGAAGCAACCGCAGAAAAACTAGTTTAAGTTTGCAACATATTAAGCTTCCTAGCCACAAGCACGAAGCCTTGACATTGTGCTACTAAATTGAAATTAATTCGGGGTTAAAATAACACACACAATACCATGCCAGCATACCAGCAATGCAAAAGGGAGCGCATTAGCGCAGATCAAGCGCTAGTTAAATACATATAGCAGCACAAACACATACACACATATATAGAAAAAATATATACAAATAAACATACAAAAACACATATCAGAGAACTTCATCCTTGCTGCTACAGCAACAAATTCCACATCTTCATTGAACGCCATGACTACGTATGCATGTGTGTAGTTCGCTTGCGCCCGAAAGTGTGCTAAACGTACGGCTGCTTTACTGCTTAGCAACACCTTGACGTCACCGTACACCTTTTGCGCGCCACAAAGGAGACTCTTGTTGCCAGACGCGTTGCGCTGTCTGCCCSTTATCCCCGTCCGTCCGCCTCTACGGTTTTCTGTCTGTCTTTATGTTAGTCTGCCTCCTAGTCTGGCAGCGCATAAGACCACTCGTCTGACAGTTTCAATGTCCCTGCCCTGCCTGCCTTTGCTGACGTCGTTGCTTTGTAAGTCATGTGAATTGTCTGCTGGCACTCGGCGCACGGCACTGCGGCGGATGAGTGACTTATGTCTGGCGTATAGCAGCTTCAACGTTCTTCACGGCGGCACATTGTGTGCGACTGACTGARTGAATGAATGAATGAATGAATGGACCGAAAAAGCGAAGAAAGATAGAGTCGCAACAAAAAAAAGAAAAGAAAATGTGATTACCAAAACTAAAAGTGAATGCTGGCGCAAAATATGGCGAATAATAAAATGATGTGGAAAATTTGCAACATTGTAGCGCAGCAGGCATGGAATAGTTGCAGCGCACAAACACACAGGACAGATGTAGCAACGAAGTCGCGCTACAGGCGGCGTTGACGATTGCGAGGCTAAAAGTATTAGTATGTATGAGTAACACGCAGATTCCCCAAAGGGTTAAGCTGGCCAGTTGACTGCGCTTTAAAGCTGCATGTGCTCAGCAGACGGGATTAAAACAACTTAAATGCCTAGACCACAGCGAAAAAATATATATTATGGTGTGTGTGTGTGTCGCGCATGTTTGCATGTTTCCAACCTCTTACGCGCCATAGCGCCTACACCCGCGCCTCTACTTATACATACACCTGCCATTGTCGACGTCGGCATCTGCGTCGACATTGACTGCGCTGACGCTCTCATCACCATCACTGTGGTAGCAATTGCTTCAACTGCTTAGCCTTGAAAATTTCAGCCTCTGCCACCGACTTTTCACACCAACACTACTGCGTTGCTCTTTGTTGCTATTGTTTTTGCTCTTGAAGGCAATCATATTGCAGAGCATTGCAGTCGCCCGGCGAGCAATGAAGTGTCTCGCAATAAAAGCGACAAGTTCAATATACGCTTGCTTTGCAAATAAATGCGAAGAAGAAGAAGAGCAAAGGCAACAGCAAAGTGCTCAGCCATATATGCAGCGAAACAAGCAATTATAGACGAGTGGCTTGAAAGTCCCTTCGCTGCAGGAGTGTAGGGATATTTTCACATGTTTCACGAATCATAAAAATATCCCTCGTTTATGCGCCGGTGTCAACTACAGCGTGCTCTTGCTTGCGCTCTCTCRATATATTAAACTCTCAAATTACTCTCACTTAATGTTTTCATTCAAATATATTTTTTATTCTCTTTGCAGTTTGCTACACTCACGAAACGGATTGACATGTTTGCTCAGCGCAACGTACGAAACACCTGAGCGTACGAGCGAATGATACACGAAATCTGTGAGTTCGGCGGTATTTGCCGAGTCGCGTATTTTACGGCGGAGTTTGAGGAAAGGCTACAGATCTCTGCGACAGCATAAACTCTCAGCTGTGTTCGTCGTTTTGCTATCGCTAAATTGTCTTCAGCGTTAATTTGCCGGTGTGCAAGTGCGCTCGTGAGCAACGATTCGTCAGTAGGCGAGTTGACTTTTCGCCGCAATTGTTATATTTTTAACACGGCGTTGCAGTGCCAATAAGACACTCGTTAATTTCTGTCGTATTTTCGCCGTACGCGAGTCGTGCTCGCGTGTTATTGCTGTTGTGTCGGTGTTAGTGMCTCGTTGGCACGTTTGATTAGTCGCTAGTGTGTTTATTTAATACAAATCCTGTCGCTCAGCGAGCTCAGTTCGTGTTTGAATTTCGTGATGTGCGGTTATTAATTTGCGGCTGCTACGGGTCAGCAACAAAAAATCGTCTAAACGAAATATTCGTCGGATATTGGACTTCAATGAAAGTCAAAAATACTCGTATACTTAGAAATGCGGTGATGAACGAAATTATTGTGTGGTTAAATATTTCAGAATGGAAATTTTAACTCAAGTCGAGTTAATTAGTTCAAAACCGAGTTAAAAGCAAATGAGTATGCTGGCGTAATTTTCAACTTGCAACATTAAACAAAAAAATTGAAAACGGAGAAAATAAACAGAAAAGAAAAACATAATTAAAGGCAAAGCGTATATATCATCATTATTAATAAAAATTTAAATTATATTAATCATAACAAAACGCTCAAATACCAAATCATGTGCTCAAAACAATTAAATTTTGATTGAAAATTTGTAAAAAAAAAATATTTTGGATGAATTGTAAAAATCTTCTTCAATCAATTTTGTGCATAAATTCAAGTGTAAAAATAGTTTAGTACAAAAATTTGTTCAGAAGATTTAATCATAGATCAGTGCGAATAAAATTGTGTTACCTTAAGGAAATATTTGTTTGTGAAAAATGTGCTCAAAACACAGCTGGCACAACGGTGCGGCATGCACGGCCGTGTCGCGTTTGCTCACCTCCATAATACTTTTAGCTCTTGTGGATTACGCCTATTCGGATTATGAAAATACGTGGAATTTATATTATGAACAACCTTGTTGTTTGCGTACACCCAACGTGCATCACATACGRCATCATAAAGGTGAGTCAAGTTTCAAGAAGTTTGTAGTTGTACAAAGGAAGTGAAATATGGGTGTATAGAAGAAGAGGTTTAGCAGAAAGTAAAATAAAAGCTTGGAAACAGTAAACATTTTTCGCTGAACACTAAGAACAATACTTCAAAAACATAGCTTAGTAATTTCGGTATAGTGTGCTTCTAGGCGCAAAAGTGCGAATATGCGAATGGAGCTGCTGCAGCTATGTTTGGTAGCATAGGCTTCATATTTTTGTATTTTTTTTTATTTCTTTAGTGTGACAAAAGAAACGTTGGAAGCTAGAGAAATTTTGGTTTGGAAAATGTAAATTTCTGTACGAAAAAGTTAAATCAATGCAGAGCAAATGACAAACATGTGGTGTGTTTTTTAAATCAAAAAACAGCTCAAGCTAAGCACAACCAAAAACTAAGAACTAATAAATAAAATATGTAAATTGACGTGATTTAGAATATGGTTAATCCCAAAACTGCATGCCAAGTTGGTTAAGAAAATGTTTCCTCAGCTTACTGTCTATTCTCAAGACAAACAAACAAAAAAAAATAAAAAATCAATTTTTCAATTGTGATAGCTCATACGTATATATAACATAAGTTATATTATCCAAAGCATCGGCTTGGTGTTGGATAACACATCTCGTTGCCTAAAATGCAAAATAATGTAGCAACAATATTTATAAGTTTACAAGTGAAGGAAACGCGATATAATAGAAAACACTTATATTGAAACAAAATGTGTGTTTTCGTTATAAAARGGTTATACTTGGATATATTGCACATTGGACTTAAAATTTTGTGATACATACAAGTATATAATATATAAAAAGATATGGTAAATCGTAAGCAATAAAAAACTCACTTTCCAATTTATTGATGACACGTTGTTTTGCATTTTATAATAAGATATACTCTAAATTTACTCTATTTTTTTTTTATTAAAAAAAGTTACATTCCTCCTTCTTCCATTTCTGTTTCTTTGTTTCAGTGTGTAATTAATTTCTTTTACTGAAAAATATACATTAGGATGTGGCTTCAAGTAAATAAAGATTTCAGTATTGCAAACAAAAACTAACTGTTCCGTTTCATTGGTTTATCCAAAGCCTCATTGTCAACACCAAAAWGATTTGGCAGCAACTTCAAAAAGAAGGCAACTTGTCAGTACAATATATATGGAATCTAAAGAAAATTTTGAAAAGTGACTAGCAGTTCGACTATCGTCGTCTTAACAAATATTGAAGTTTAGATTGTTATTGTTTAGAAAATTTATACGGATATACTATAAAATTATTTTAAAAGTGATTTTTTTGCGATTCCATTATACAGCTTAAAGTAAAGAGTAATCACTTTCATGCATATTTTAAATAAAAAGTAGTACATGTATTTTTCATTCAAGGTCAATCGTTTCTACGTCAGAATTTTCATGAAAAATTAGACRTATTATAAATTTTGAAGTTCAGATAGTGAAACCTTCTGATAAAGTGCTAATTTTTTTATGAAATATAGTAGAGAAATATGCTATGTGGGAGTGAGATTAGAGCACTCATTTTTAGTACTAGCATAAGTTAACAATTTTACGAGCCAATGCTCTGAATTTTTCAAAAAACAAAGTTAAGCTAAGTCAAGATAGTTGCTCTGCAGTCAGAAAACAAAAAAAATTAAGAAACTTTACTTTAAGATTTTGAAATAAAATTTGCAGATTGAAGAAAAAAGTTAAATATTTGGAAATCATTATGCCATAGGCTAATGTAAAGTGTTTTCATACCCAGGGTGATTTCATATGACATTGGTCTGTACTAAGAAGTGTTTGAAATGTTTGTGGCAGAAACTTATTTAAGAAAAAGTAAAAAAAATTTTAACTTCGGTTGCACAGAAGCCTAAATATCCTTTACTAAAAAAATTTACACATACAAATTGATTTTCATCATTCAGTTTATATAACAGCTATATGCTATAGTGGTTTAATATGAATAATTTCTTCAGAAATGATGTCATTGCTTTGAAAAACGATCCATGAAAAATTTCGTGAAGATATCTTGTGAAACAAAAAAGTCTGCTATACAAGAACTGGGTTTTATCGATCAGTGTGCATAACTGCCATATGATAAGGTGGTTCKATTCGATTCGAGAAGTTATTAAGAAAACGTGATAAAATTTTGCAATAATAATTCCTTTAAAGTGTACCGCTTTACGATCAAAAATTGTCCAAGTCCAACAAAAACTGTTCGAGTCCTTAGACACCGTATATGTGGTCTCAGTACCTATTGTTGACTTTTGACCAAAAAKATCATTCAATATGTGAGATATACAATTGGAATTTTGAGAGCATCTCTTCCTGACAATAGTAACTCTGTGCCTCAAAAACCAATACTTCTCTGAGCCGTCATATACCATATATAAAAATTTCCGACCAATACATGAGTTATCTCAATAAATATTACAGGGGAAGTTTTACTCATAACACTGTATCTTTGAGCCAAAAATATATAAAAACAAAAAAAATACAAAAAATACAACCCAGAAAAAAGTATGTGTCATGATAATAGTTAATAGATAAAATCGGGCTTTTGCTACCTCAACTTCAAGGGCACAATAGACCTAAGGTCGCGGTGCATTCCTCATATTCACATCTACCTCAACTTCCATATACCACATATCATCACCTAAAATGCAAAACAACAYAACATAAAAAAAAAATCAAAACTTGAACTTTTTAAAGCTTACTCTTCACTACATCTTATTATATATACATACATATGCATAAAATGTTARGCATCCACTATAAGATATAACCAATATATAACCATTTTATAACCAAAACTCAAAAGTTAGTTTCAATATGAGTGGAATATTACATAYATCGCGCTTCCTTTGACTGCAAACATATGGAGAGGGATGTTACCTTTTTTGTATTTTAGGTGCGGAAATAATTACTTTCGTTTTGAGAAATTGCTTAGATTTTGATCCTCTGGTTGACGTTTTGMACCCTTTACTGGCTCGCAAGGTTCAAGAGCATATATGTTGCACCCGAAATTATGCTTTCCTTGTTTAAATTTATGAATTCACATTACTGTTCTTAAAAATCAATCAATCACTCTGCTTTTAAGACAAAATTTACCATTTGTGTTCTACTAATTTCGCCGAATTTTAAATARTAGTGGTCCACATCCTTTTATGCGAAATTATCTTAAAACCGCAAGAAAAATTATATAGTATTTATGTAAATTTATGTGTACACGTTGATTGAACTCGTACTTAAATATATATATAATTATATATTGTTATATGTATTCATATATATTGTTCATCAGAGATGTGTAGCTTGCCGATGGTGAAATAATTTTTCAGATCCGTCAAATAGTTTCGGAGCCTATTCATATAGAAAAAATCAGTCAAATATTTATTTTTTTATTATATATTCTTATATACTATCTATAGTGTTAGTATATATATCCCTTATTTGCTTCAAAGCTAAACTATAACGTTTAAAGGGGTTTTTTATAAAATCACGAGGATACTAATAAGAACAGAGCAAGGAACGCTGCGAGAACAAGTACTATGTATATATCTTAATTTGTGAAATTAAAAAAAAAAAACACTATATTAATATTAAA